ATGGCATATGACCTTGTGTTCTTGCCTTTAAGAAAGCATAAAGTAACAAATGACCTCAAAGTTCTTTGGAGGGATTGGGCAAAAAGGAAAAAGGACTCATGGACAGGACAACACTGTAGTGATTGCTAGGGGTAGGGGGTATGGGGGAACTAAATGACAATGGAAAAAAATAACTATAAAGATTTTAAAAATAATAAATTAAAATAATAATTTTAGAGGTTTCTAATCATGTCCTGAATGCTTACTGTTTAAATATCTTGCTGATCATGAGGGTGTCATACGGTCATTAGCTAATGTATCTATCAATGCACAATTAGCCTTAAGTTAAAATTCATCATTAAGGACTGATTCTGTCACAATGCAGTATCATAAATAATATGCTAAAATTTTGTTTAGAATATTAGCACTTATGTTCTTGAGGATTCATCCCAGGAATGCAAGATTGGCTTAACATTCAAAACCAATAAAAGTAATACACAATGCTAACAAACTAAAAAAGACACACCATAGAATAAGAATACTTAAGATCCAAATTATTCACTCCAAGTAGAAAAAGTGCCCATGAATTCCCTTCTACAGTCTAACTTGTGGAAAAAACAGCATCATTCAGGAGCTCCAAATATTATAGTCTCTATACAAGGGGTATTTCATTCAATGTGGTTCTGACACTAAAAAAAAAAAACAAAAAAAAAACCCACCTCGATTCACTTCTCTTTCTGAAAGGAACTCAAGGTAAGATTAGAGTATCTTCCTGCCTAATAGTTGTCACATTATAAACACATGGTATTTGATTATACTACTTTTGTACAAAAATGTAAAGTTCAAGGAAAAAAAAACATTAGCTCTACCATGTCCTTTGAGATCCAACATCTTATCTTTGAAAGAAATACTCAACAAAGAAAAAAGTACTCATTTGAAGCTGTAGTAATAGTTAAGGTAAAATAATTGTTTAAGCTCAATGAATCTGCAGTTGTCTTGTCATTTTATCAAGTGTGCTTACCTAGTGCCAAGGATATATGCAAACAGAATTTAAAACTGAGGCTTCTAAATTATATCCATTATTTCTTACTCCAGAAACTTCTGAAACTTAGAGGTGACAGATATGTCAGAAAGTTCTCTTTACCAACTAAAGGAAGGACAACCCAGTTCGTGGTTATGAACTGTCATTAGTAATTTAGCAGAGCTAGAAGGCAGTTCAGCCAAGTAGACAGAAAATTAAAACATGGGCAGCTCCTGATTGAAAATTTATTCATAGCAGGTAATGATATAGCACAATCAGGATTCCTGGTATTACTCAGAATGAGATTTAATTCAGATAACTTTGATGATGGCACTTGAATCAGAGATTATAAATGGTGACAGGTTGTGACATATAGATAGGTTGAAATGAGCATCAGCAACATCTCTCTACAGAAGATGATTCTATATAAGATCATTTTTTTCAAACAGGAAATATAATTTCAAAAAATTATTACAAGTCTTTTAAAAAGACCCTTGGCTGGGCCTTAGGTACATCATGTACCATTTTCATGTATACCTTTCAATGGAGTACAATATTAATCAACATATCAAAGGTAAGCAATGAAAAATAACTCACATTTTAAAACATGAAATATGCATCATAGTTTCTGAATTTATCTGCATAAGGAACAAACCTAAAATTATAGGCAGAATGGCTATTCTATGGGAAGGGTCAGAGTGAAGACTTGGATTTTCATGTGTATGTGCATGTGAAGGATATTCATTAGGGGCACTTACATACAATATATATTATTTACATTTATAAAGAAGAGTAAGTTTATATTGGATTTTGTATGCCTTTATATGTTTCTTAATTATTGACAACAGTGTTATTTTTAAAAGAAAATGTATTTTTTTAAATTGTCTATTTTATACATAATACTCTATAATAGGAATACTGGTGAGAAAAATAGTGTTTCCACATAGATAGATATTCCAATACATCTCTTTTGAATTTGTGAAGTGGCATATTCAGTGTGTGTGGTCAACCTGTTAGATGTGGGGATTTTAAAATACAGCCCTAAAATTCTTTCATGTTCCTTCCATTGAAAGGAGGAGTCCATCTTCCCGATTCCTTCAATCTATACCAGTTTGACTAATACTTTATAACAGAAATGGTGTGTCAGTTTCCAGATCCAGACCATAAGAAATGGCAGCCTCAATGTCTGTCATTTGAAACTCTCTTGTGAGATACCCAGGTAAACCAGTGGAGTGGGCTACAATAGGAGGAACTGAAGCCCCTCTACCCCACAGCTGAAAGCCAGCACCAAATGTTAGTCACGTGAGTAAACCATCTTTAAAGTGGATGCTCCACCTCCTACTGAAGTCACTCCAGTTGACACAACATGGAAAAGAGAGCTGTTCTGGTTGATCTATGGCTAAACCGTAGACATAGAAACGGAACAAACAACTGCTATTGTCTGAAGGCACTACATTTTGGTCTGGTTTGTTAAGCATCAATAGATAATCAAAAGAGCAGAGCAGGATTTGAATCATGAATGCTGATTACGAAATGGCTTCAGCATTATACTAAATCAATGTTATACTACATATGCTATAACCAATCAGAATAGAAGAAAGAGAATGTAAAAATCCTGATAAATGTCATCAGGGTAATAATACAAATTTTGTCAATAAAGTTTTCAATAAATTGCACATAATATTGAGAAAATAATTCAAAGAGTATGAGAAACTTTAGTATTTTATATATTGAGGAATTTAAGTATGTAAGAATTTGTTTAGTTTTAGTGATATAGATTGACTTTGTAGGATTTTTACCTATAGTATTTAATGATTTTATAACCAATATTATAAACCTATTAACAGAAATACTAATCCTTTAAAAATTGGAAAATTTAAATAGAACATCTAAAATAATAGAATTCATTTTAAATGGAGCTATATTTACAGAGGACTAAGCCTATACAAGATAACAGTCAAAAATAGTAAAAATCAAAGTAATAATAAGCTAAAACTATAATATATATTATTTACCAAAAGTAAGCACCTGAGAAAGATTAATAGTTAATTCAATAACAAAAGAAACCATGGATTAAACAAAAATGATAACTATGTCTTGATTCCTATAGTAAAAAATTTTAAAACAATTATGTAAAATCCCTTTCTTTAGAAAACTGATAACTTTATACCTCAAGAGTTTATGGTACAGGAAAATACATTATAATAAATATTTTAATAAAATAAATAATTTTATACATAAACTTTACCTACTTAATGTATTTCTTTTTAAGACACATTTCTATAAAAGAATTGTTTCATAATCAAATTTAAACAATGTATTTCATAAAACACAGTTCTATAGTATAGAGTTAACTCTTATTTATCCAAATACAAACTGAAGAGTTCAATTAATTGTACTTCTTGTCCACAATCAACATCTATAAAATTTACTCAATAATGTCATTAGTGGGGTTATATCACAAAATTAGCACAGCTGTGTTTAGTCCTTTTTACTTGTTTTAAATTCAAACTATAAAAGACAATGTTCAAAAAAGTGATCAAAATACAAAATACAAAATAGTTAGCTCCCAACTCTACCTCTTTCTTAAAATGAAAAACCTGAGAAACAATGATTAATTGATTCATACTAGAGTGAAGCTAGGCCTGGAACCCTGCCACCAGCTTTTGCCTCTTACATCTTTTCTCATACATTATGCTGCTTCATCTGGTGTGAGTGATTCCTATATGGCTATGAAATACACAACTGTATGATATTAAGAAAAGAGTGTAGTGAAACAATTTCATCTATATAAAAGTCATCTAATCTGTACTAAAAATTAGAATTCTTCATTTTATCAAATTATTTGCTTAACCATTTTTCTACACTACTCATTTTCCAGGTATGTGAATGTTTATACAATAAAAAACACCCGAAAACATTCATTAAATTCTTTTCAAAAATATTATTTAAAAAAATTAGTTATACATTACTTGATGTTCTGCTACTTTTAATATGCCTGATAACGATTTTCTTTATAGTTTCACTTACAATAAATAATAGATACAAGTCTAGAATATTTTGTCTTTTAAAAAAATTTTTGCCATATCACACTGTTTAGACTTAATCACCTAAAACATCCTTCTACTCAGATGGTAAAAGAAGTCACAGAGATGTGTTTAATCTTACCAAATTGTTTCAATATTATGCCTTAGCTTACTATCTGTAAGGTGGCTATAAAAATAGTACTTACCATGTATAAGTAGAGTTACTATTCCAAATAAATAAAATATGTAGCTAATATAACATAACTAAAACATTTGGCACCATATTTGACATATTTTTACATACTAATAAATGTTATTATAGTTATAATTATTTAGCTGCAGTCTAAAACATGGTGACATTATTAAAATAGCAAAACATGAAGTATGATTTTTAAAAATAACCTACTTAAAACAATATGTATTTCTTTCTTCTTCTTCTTTTTTTTTTTTTTAAGGCGAGAGCATGAACGCAGTCCCCCACCACCACAAATTATGCAGTCGAGTTTCCCACATTTGGAGAAATCTCAGGGGTCAGCATATCTGGAGTGCAATGGATGAGCCTCACCCTGGGAAAACCACAGTCATGATCATGGTATGTCCCCTGCCAGGTAAGTATCACAATATGTATTTCTTATTTAAAGGGAGACTCGCTAAGGTTAATTCAACCTGATAAAGGAGTCTTTTTGATATTAAAAAAAATTTCACATTAACCCTTTTGTTAAAATGGGAATATAACCAATATATTTTAAATGGCAAAAGATTTGTAAAATTAAAATTTAATGCAACTTACCATGAATATGTGTTATACAAAACAAATTCAATGCTGTAAGTATATTAAACATTCTTTATAAAATTATAAAAACTCATTTTAAGAAATTAGATATCAGTGAGAAGGTACACATGCAGTGAATTTAGTGAAATTCCTTAAAATTAATTTTAAACAAAGAAAACATTTCAACATTATATGTACCTACCTAGAGTAGGCAAACAATCGACTATCCCAAAGATCATGATTCCCTCTAGGTCCAGAATGAAAATAACAGGAATCTGTCCCATCAAACATATTCAATCCATCTTCTGAATTTTTTGAAGCATGGCTGTGTACCACATCTAAGAGGACAGTAATACCCATTGAATGAGCTGTGTCAACCAGTTCTTTTAGCTCTTCTGGAGTTCCGTAACGACTAAAGAAAAAGAACATAGCAAAAATAAGATGACATCATATTTAAAACGAACAACCAATCATTTACTGTGAATCATTTGTTTTATCAGCACTGTACTAAAACTTTATATATGCAAATCCCATACAACAGATAAAAGTCAACATTACTTAGTATTTGCTATTGAGCAAATTTAAAAGCATGCAAAAAAAATTCAAGCAAGCTATTAAATATAGATTTATATCCCCTCAAAAATTCACACTTTGAGTATTAGATTGTAGAACCCTACATCTCTGTACTCAGAGCTTCTGATTTCCATCCCCAACTCTAACTAATCCTGGGAACATGGATTCCTGTTCACAGGCACGGCCATCCCTTTGAGTGTACATGTTTGGGGTTAGGTGAACTCATAGTATCCTTTGAAAGTCTTTGGGGCCTTGATTGAGGCCATCCCTCCTACATTTACTTATTCCTAAAATAAAATGTGCTCAGGTACCAACAGGCCAAGAGAAAATGCTATATATGTCACCATCAAAGCAGAAAAGATACAGCTCACATGTGTGTTAAAAGTAGTTTTCTTGTCTACATAAAAAAAGAGCAAAATCACACCCAAAAGGGAGTCTTTTCTTAATCTCTGTGAAATCTTGGCATTACAGTTTTCCATAGCATCATCTTTGTCTTTTAAATGGTCACGCTTATGATCATTTACTGTGTCTCCTCCTCACTAGACCACATGCTCCCAGAGGTCAGGGCCTATGCCTAGCTGGTTTCCCATGCATGGTGCAGCACAGCACTCAGTATATAGCAGTTCTCCTAATAGCCAACTCCATTGGGCAGCAAGACCTGTATTTTAAAGATGGAAATAAGATTATATCATCTTCTTAGGATGAATATCAGTGTCCTAATCATGACCTACTGAACTGCTTAATGTGGATCTTTCCAATAACTTCAGACTTATGACACTCTACCCTTTCCCCTCCTTATCCTAGCCATCAAGCCTTTTTTCCTCTCTGAACAGCATGTTCAATGAATGAACAGTACTAAGTTTCCATTCATTCATTCATTTGTTTAACAAAAACTTGTTAGGCTATCTACCATGTCATGAAATTTTTGGTTCTCTGGGAATTCAGCAGTGAACAAAATAAATACCACTGCCTTTATAAATTTGACATGCTAGTTGGGAAACAACAAATAAATAAGCAAGATATGTGGATATGTGGACTCTCAGATAGTAATAACCTATCTTTAAAAAATGAAGCAAAACCAATGGTAAGAAGGGCAGGTTTGCTATTTTAAATAAGGACAGCTGTAAAGGTTTCATGAGGCAATATTTGAGCAAAGACCTTAAAGAAGTAGGGAGCAAGGCCTGTGAATAGTTAATGACAAGAGTGCTCAGAGTGAAAGAGCACTGGAGACAAAAATGAGCTTAGGGGCTTTTGAAGACAGCAAATATGCTACTGTAGCTAGGGTGGAATGAACAAGAATTAGGACCACAGCAGTGGCTAAGACCCAAATCACATGGGGTATTATGGACCAATATAAAACCTTTGGCTTTTATTCTGAAGGAGAATCATTAGAGGGTTCTTTGCAAAAGAATAATATGATCTAACTTTTATTTTTAAACATTTACTCTGGCCGCTGTGCAGAAAGTAGGCCATGTTTGTGGAGGGGGAGAAGATTAGGGAAAGCATATGAGGATAAGAAAATAGAGTGACCCGTTAAAGAGCTATTGAAATAATAGAGGTAAGACATAACAGAAACTTGGAACAGAGTGGTAGCAGTTGAAGCAGCCATATGTGGGACACATTTTGAAGTTACAGATGGTCAAATTTTATGATAGCTAGCTAGAGCTAGAGAGACAGAAGAGTCATGTGTATCGCAAAGATTTTGGCTTGAACAACTGGAAGGTGAAGATGGCATTTACTGAACTAGGAAAGATAACTGGAGGGGGAGGCTGGAAGATAAGATCAAGAATTTAACTTGTGATGTGTTAAGTATTAGGTAACTATTAGATATCCCAATGTCAAACAGACACTGTTTGAAGTTCAGAAAAGAGGTCAGAACTAGAGGGTTAAATTTGGGAGTAGGCATGTAAAGTGTATTTAAGCCATAAGAATGTATGGGACTTGATGAAACCCCAAGGTGCTTCATATAAACAGAGAAGAGAATGGAACCAAGGGCTGAGCACTGGCAGATCCAATCTTTACTGGTCAGAAAGAGCATAGGAAACAAGAAAGAAACACCAAGAAAGGTGGGAACAGGGGTAAAATATTCTAAAAGCCACGGGAACAAAATGTTCCAAGAAGATGGGAGTAACCAATTGTGCCAAATGCTGTTGACAGTACAAGTAAGTTAGAACTTTGGATTTGACAATGTGGAGGCTATCAGTACCATTGAAAAAAGCACTTTCAGTGAAGAGGTGAATAGAGTAAATAAAGGTAATGTATTCAAGAACTATGATAAAGAAAAGCAGGTAAGTGAATATAGTGTTTGTTTTGTTCATTTTGAATTCTATCTACCTATTCCCACTGCACTCCTCCCCAAGTTCTTTAAACCGTGCTTTAGATCTCAGTGCTAACATCAGTTCATATCTAATCTAATCTGATCAGACCTCTGGTTCTATGCTATTACAGCACCCTGACATTTTCTTCTTTGTTTCTATTACAGGTAGAAATTATGATATGTATGATTATTGGATTAAAACCCCTATGTCACCTTGGTATACTCACCATGATTCTGAGACAGTGCTAGACAAATTCAACTTGTGGTCATTCATGCTTTGTGTCTTTCTGCACAGAAGGCACCATTCCTTAGATTTTAGGCTGGGAAGGACAGCCCTTCTGTGTGCAGTGTGTGTCCCACCAATGGACTCCTCACTGACCTTCTACATGAGTCAATCTTTTTCTATAAAAAGACATGAGCTATGGCAATAATGGCTTCCGTAAGACACGATTTCCTGACTAAAGCTTGGGCCTCCAAATCATGAAAATTTTAGCAAGCAATTGAATATTCTTTATCAGAAATCATTTCATGAAAAATAACATCAAATCAAGGCTAGATGGGATAAAACTCTGTGATCTTAAAAATGCTAAGCTTACGTTAACTCTGTTAACCCTAAAATAAGTAACAAAATGACATCATATAAAACTGCATTTTTTAAACTTTTTGCTCAAAAAAGAAAGGCTATAATGAGTCTTTCCTTTTACCTTGAAGCTGCAAAGAAGCTTGTGATTTGGTAACCAAAACTGGCATAATAAGCATGTTCCATGATTGCCATCAACTGAATGCAGTTGTATCCTATATGAGCGAAGGTCAAATAAAGATTAAAAACACATTTTAAAAAAAAGAATAAAAAAATATAAACACCGATCCTTATTCTAAAGACATTAAATTTTACACATAATCATTTACATATAAATGACTTGATCATTTTGAAAAGTTCTACTACTTTAATATCTTTTGCTTGTCTGACCTTCTAGCAAAATCGGACAGTTAGTTCTTGAGAGTTATACTCTAACTAGCTATTTCAAATGTCTTCATTTTAACAAGTAATAAATTATATGCAAATAGACTCTTAATTTGGATTTAGAATATTAAAGATGGAAATCTCCATATGCTAAACTTCAGCTGTACTTGTAATATTCATACTAAAGATTATGAATGCTAAATAAAAGTAACCAACTGCATGCCACATACTTTTCATTTTACTTTTTTCTTTGTATTTCAGTTATCTTACCATATAGCATAAGATATAGCAACAAATCCATTTTTCCACACAGTGTTACAGAGTTAGCATTAATTCTTCTTTTTCCACTATTTCTTCCAGCTGTTAAATTACTCTAAGTTGCTGTGTGCATATATGAGTACACACATACATATACAAACATACAACCTTCCTTTCTCTATCTGAAAATGTTATGCTCTAACACTAAATGAAGTGACTCAAAAAGGTAGGCACTGTTCTTCTTTTTAAATCCATAACATTTAAATGTATTTATTAATGTGTTTTTATTTATTTATTTTTAAAATACAAACTGTGCCATTTTATATTGTCCTCTGTAAATGTTTCCTGGTACATGATTTTAGTGCACCTTGGCCCTAGTCTGAATGAATGAATGTAAGCAATAATCAGAGGAAAAAGACTGTTCTTTAAAAAAGACAAAACAAAAACCAAACTAAATAATCAGGTTTTTCTTCCTCCAACTACAATTTGGTATAATTTTCAAATATGACTTGATTACTTTGTAGGTTATATTTCTACAAAACATATAGGAAATTCTCTTATCCTGTTCTCAAAGTCCAATTCAGATCAATATAGCTTCTTGTGCACATATTTCAGTACATAAGTAATATTGGAACAATTATAAATTCACATTCAGAATTAGGGATTGATAAGTTTAAAAATAACAAACTCCGTGGTTCATAAACTGCTGAAAAGTTTATAATTTTTCACCTTCTTATTGCAGAAAAAATATCAAACTAATTCTACCTGATTTGATAGAAAAAATATTACTATATGAACTACTGCTCATATAACATAAATTACATATTTCATAACAAAATATAAAGTTTACAGTTTATTTCTCTGTTATACAATAAATATTATTCTCATAATTAAGCAACAATTTATAGTTTCTATTATTAATTTTATGGCATTAATCATTCCTAGATTTATTTATATTCAGAATACTGGCCTAGGTAATTCAAACACAAAGATAAATGAGAGAATCCTTATTCTGCTGAACCTTCTACAAGAAAAAGTCATAAATCGTTTATTACATTATAAAATAACAGGACATCTCAAATACAACAATTTTGCTATAATATCTATTAATATAATCAGTGTTAAATTCTCCATACATTTTTTAATTTTGGTTTCTGGAAACTAAACTCATTATCACAATCCATATATAACTGAAAACTTTAACCATGGATTACAAAACTTTCCTGTAGCCAAAACTTGGACTGCCTAGCAAAAGCAGAGCAATTAAATGTACTTTATCTTTCTGCTTAGCCATCAGAGCAGGTGCTAATATGCTGTGAAATGACAAAAAAAAATCATAACTGTAAGAAAAAGAATAGGTTTAAAGCACGCTGAATCAATAATGCAGCAGTACACTATTCACTCTCCAGTTATTCCCATGAAGACAGGGTTTGTTTGCGTCATTGCAGTCCCAAACACGAACATCTACAAGGCGTTTCACACAGAAGATGCACCATAAATATTGGTCAAAAATGTCATCCAGACAGAGCCATATGTACAGTGACTCTGATAATAAAATGAGTTCCAGTCATCTTACAAATGTGCAATTTTTCTCCTAAGAAACTAAAATGAACAGGCTTTACTCAATGACCACTTAAATGATAAAAGTTCTCTCCTATAAAAAAGTAATTATGCTTACATATTTATCTACAATTTTGCACACTAGTAGTTCACATTACTTAAAATTGTAATTGGAATAATATATTGAATTCTTATTTTTATCTCATTTCTCTTTTCTATGCTATCACTATTACAGGGCAATTTGGGAAGCCTAAAATAAAATGCATTTCTATTACATATTTAATCTCAACACAAAAAGAGACACTTGTTATTAGCTTTTCTAATAAGAAAACAGATTCATTAAAATTTTATCTGAATAAATATCACAGTTATCACTTACCAAGGTCTTTGATTCTCGGTAGTATATTACATGTAAAATGTTTATAAGAAGCTACTTTTCCTTCATGGGAAGAAATCCCCACATGAGACTCATAAATTCGTAGACCTCTTGGCTTCTTTGGTCGGGAATGCTTAAACTACAAAATATAAAGTTAGGTATTCAATTAGAACAGGAATGCAGGTATGAGACTAGCCAATTAAGCATGTTAAATGAAAAGGTGAATCAACTCAGTCAAATACTTTGGAACTGTTTTCACATGTAAAGACAAGACTGGCTCTATCCATTAAACTTTCTTTTGGAAAAAAAATCCTTTTTAGAATCATGTTAACCTATTTTAAAAGAGCAATCATGTAATGGCTATGCCTCACCATTGAGTGAAGATATATTTTGAGCCTAAGCCTTAGAGAAAACACAACAGCTATGAAATGCATACATAATTATTAAATACCAACCATTTATCAACAAGCTCCAGTAACCTAAAGGACAGAAAAGTGAGTTCAAAGATATCTATAACTCTTGCAAATGAGACAGCCTTAACAATTACCCTAACTAATACATTCAGTCATTCAACTATTCTTTGTTCTTAAGGACACTGATCCTGCTTCAAATCCATGACAATGGAAATATTACGTCACTGAAGAGTCTTTGATGAATCAGAAACTGTGGTTAAGATTTAAAAAAAATAATCAGTATTCTTTATAGGCCACTATGTAGAGATTTAGTTTTATTTCTCCCCTCAACCTCAGAAACATATGATTAGAAAAAATCACTTTTATACTCTATGGGCTACAGATAATGGAATCTGATATATGTATAGCAAATGAATGCAGTATGGCATAAAATATTAAACCAACATCGAAAAGTTAAACATTTCTATAAAAGTAAAAATTAACTTCCTAAAAATATTGGAACAAGCATTTATTTAAAGATTTGTTGTTCTCACTTTATATGTGTGTTCTGGATCCCAGTGTATCCAATCATAAATCACATTATCACCTTCACGAGCCACATACTTCGCCCACGGTGAAATACGATACAAAATCTCTCCATTTTTACTCCTAATAACTACCTAAAAAGAGAACAAAATGTTATTGTTTTAAAAAACTTCAAAATTAAGATAATGCATAATAGTTTATGAACACTGCTACAAGTCAGAAAAGAAGGAATGATCATAAGAATCTAAACTACCATCCAGATGTGTGACCTTAAACATGTTTAAATTCTATGGACCTTGCTTTCCTTGTCTGCTGTAGTATATGATCCTTAAAGTAACTTCTAGCTAGAATATTTTATGATTCTCTGGCAATTTCCATCAGTGAAAACCAACCATTACAGTGGTTAATTAAACTGAGCATACAGTAGATAATAAAAGACATGAATATTATTTGGGAACTGCAGTCAATAAATCAATCATCAGGAGGAAATAATCCTACCCTATTATAAAAAAGTGACAGGTGAGTTATAGCACCATCCTTTCTTTTCCTTCCCATAGCAATTAATTATAACATTTTCAAGAAGCTAAAGGAGAAAAATGGTTTTGATTAATACCTGTATTACGCACACACAAACACACACACAGTACCCTGCAAATATTTTCTACCCCTTTTCAAATTCTTCTCTTCCCTATTCCAAGTATGCTTTACCATACAAAGCCAAACATTTTACCTTTTAGCCATCCACCCCTTTATTTGCCAACAGTATCACTATTGCTATCAATAAAAAAATTAGAATAAAATGCAAATATGATTTTTTACTAAATCCACCATTTTAGATTTAATACAGAATAGAGGACTGAATTGATCAACATGATTAGATAAAAAGTAAGCTATGTGAACTAAGTGTTCAAGTGACTGAAATTAAAGCTTTTTTTAAAGTTCTTTTTTAAATTAAACCTTCTAAAAGTAAGTAGGATATGACCAAAAATGTTGAGATTAAGAGCTCTAATATATTCTCAACATTGAGAGAGGACATATTCTTAAGTTTCCTTTAACAGAGAAAAGCTCAAGTTTGCATAATTCTTGGTCATTAAATATTTGTATAATATATTACAGCTTAGTCGTATCTCAGTTGATTCCAGAGAATCTTTATGACAAAAATATTAAGTGAGATTATATAAACTGCTGAAAATCCTAAAGTCACTAAGTGGCAGGGCCAAAAGCTGAACACTGAACTTCTGGTACTCACTTCCTTGCTCTTAACAGATTTTTACAGCACTTCCCTCAGATATAAAAATAAATCACAATTTAGACCAGTTGGAAGAGGCAAGTCCATCCTTAAAAGGACTGTCCAACTTACAGGAAATCAATTATTTTTCTTTTATTAGGCCTACCACTTACTGAAGCCAATCATAGTCAAGGGTTACTATTATTCAGGTTAATTATCACAAAAACATGAATAAACAAATGTAACCCACTCCTGGAATATTTTAACACACAAAATATGTCCCTTTGGCCACATGAATTTCTAATATAACATGCAATAGTGATGAATTTGAGAAAAATACCTTTTGCTCACTCATCAACCCAGAATAGGTGATGGGGAAATAAAATACTAAAAAGCAGTTTTCATTGAATAACATCCTGCTAAATTTACCCATCTATCTTTCCGCCCTTTTGCAAATGGCTCTACAACTTCTCCTAAGGATAAACATAAACGAATAACTATTTTTGAAGACATCTGTTGGTAGAGAAATATTTGAAATTTAAGAACATGAAGAATCTCTTAATGCTGACTATAAGGTCCTCATTCTTTGGAATATTTATCTTTCTGTACACATGAAATGTCTTCAGAGGCTACTGAGTGATGGGGGTTGGAAGAAATAGTCCTTCTAAGAATCTCCCACACTTCTACATATTTTGCTTGATATATCAAGAATACAAGACCCTGACTCTTCTTGACAGGGGCCAGTTGCATGTAACAAACAATGCTGAGAAATGGGATATTTTCCTTGAAGAAACAGAATAAGCTTGATTACTATTTGCTAAAAAACAATGGCTCCCCCAAGGTGAATATTCTTCAGCTATGAGGCAAATCAATCATGTGAGTAGCATCCATCTGGACCATACAGTTTCAACACTATGGGACTTGGAAGGCAAGGGGGAACAATGCAAATATGGTACTCATACTGCCTTCTGTACCGTGAGTAGTAAAATTACTTGTATCAGATTCAGGAGTCCTGTGTCTTCTGCCACAATCTATGAAACAGTAACAGGTTAAAATAAGCTTGTGGGTAAAATAAAATCAAATCCTACATCTGACAACAGATAATTTATTCATTCACTGAAAGGTTTTAATATATTTGTTTCCAAAAGTTGTGTTTCTTCATTTCTATTAGCGTTTTCTTCTTTTTTTAATTTTATTTTTTCAATTACAGTTTACATTTGGTATTATTTTGCATTAGTTTCATAAATACATCATAGGGCTTAGCCAATCATATACTTCATAAAGTGATCCCCAGATATTTCCAGTACCCACCTGGCACCATACATAATTACATATTATTGACTACATTCCCTATGCTGTACTTTATAACCCCATGACTATTCTGTAACTACCAATTTGTAATTCTTAATCCCATCAGCTTTTTCACCCAGTCCTCAACACCCCCTTCTCCTCTGGCAACCATCAGCCTACTAATATTTGCTATTAGACATATCTATTAGTTATTACTATCAGTGTTGCTTTTTGGAGTGAATGCTTTTTTTTATCCAATTCCCCCTTCTTTCTCAGTAATAAAATTATAACCTAGGTCCCTGAATATGTAAAACAAAACTTCACAAAATCTGGAATATGTACCTATGATCATTACATAAAAGGTAAATTAATTTCTCTCTCTTTAGGCCCCTGAACTTCAGAGTTACTTTTGTCACAGTAGTTTAGACTCTCCTAATGAATACACTTGACTAGAATAGACACCTCCCCTTGCTTTTGAATTACTATTCCTAGAGAGTTTTGATAACCAACTAAGAGATTTACAATAAATCTAAATAAATCCAGCATGAGAGGCAACCCAATGAGTAAAAAATATAATCTTTCTGGACTAAACTTTGCCTACAAAATTTTTTTATGGGGGGAGTGAGAAGAAGGTACTTCATAGTTTTGGCTCTCTTGAATTCAAATTCAAACGAAAGATTTTTATATGATAAGGCTCTATATCATTTAGTTTACAACCTCAAAAAAGCCTATGTTATATAGCAAATTGAAAAGAAAGAGCTAAGGTTTTTATCTGAAGAAACCCACAACACTAAAGCAAAAAGACATATACCTCCATCTGTTGAGAAGACATATACATTCATTTGTTCACTGCAGCATTAGTTACTATAGCAAAGATATGGAAGCAACCTAAGTGTCCATCAATAGATAAAAGGATAAAGAAGTTGAGAATATATACAATAGATATGACTCAATCATAAAAAAAGAATGAAATCTTTCCATCTGCAACAACATGGATGGACCTAGAGGGTAATGGTACTGGGCTGAGTGAAATAAGTCAGACAGAGGAGGCTAATGCCATATGATTTCATTTATGTGTGGAAATGTAAAAAACAAACTAAACAAACAAGCAGAACAGAAACACATTCATAGATAAAGAGAACACTTTGACGATTGCCAGATGGGAAGAGGGTTGAAGGGAGGGTTCAAAAAGGTAAAGGAATTTAGAAGTACAAATTGGTAGTTACAGAATAGCCATGTAGATAATAAAGTACAGAATATAAAATATAATCAATAATATTGTGATAACTACATATGGTGTCATATCGATGCTAGATTTATCTGAGTGATCACTTAGTAAATCATAGTCACTGAGTTGTACACCTCAAAAATATAATATTGCATGTCAACCAACTGTAATTTGAAAAATTAAAAAAATATATATATTTAAAGTAAAAAAAAAGAAAGAACTAGCTTGATTAATCTATCAACAATAATAAGTCTCATATCTAATGGGTAGAAGAGATCACATGATAATACCAAACTGAAAGTCTTATATAATGTTATATGAGTGTAAAATAGTATAACAGTTATGAATAGCAATTTAGCAATATGCATCAAATATTAAAAAAAATAATTCATAATGACTCAGTAATTGAATTGTAGAAGTTTGCCATGTGAAAATAATCAGAAATGTGTACAAAAAAACTATGTCTTTGTCTATTAATTTTAGAATTATTGTTATTAGCAAAGAGTAAATTGTCAAATAATGTATAGTTGTTAAAAACTAAACTATTGATTTTTGCAAGGTGGTGAAAAAAGTATGTTTACTGTTGTGAGTACATGAAATACAGAGTTTATTCTAGCATCATTATTTATTAATTACTGCATTATTTTCCATATGAGCATTTGTAAACCTACTTTTGTCTCACCCTGTATGGAAGGTTGCAATTCTTTTTTAATTATAAAAAATAATGTGCTGACTCTTCCTAATGTAAATGCACACAAACTCATAGACTAAAATATTTAAAAAGATAGAAAAAATATTGAGCATCTATTTTCCAGTTGTATGCTTCTATATTGTTATCACTTCATTTCCTTTGTAGAGCTTCTATATAATTAGAAAAAATAAGTATTTTAGTAAGGATTGCAAACAGATGAATTACATAATTACACACACACTGGGGAGGTGTGCTAAACATGTTACATATATTATGTACCTTAAATATATTGATAGTGTTAAAATAAAACTTTAAAAGTATATTAAATCACTTTAAAGGAACATACTAATGAAAAATTTTATAGGGCAAATAGATATTTTGTAAAACCGCAACATTTTGGGTGTTAACTATAAAAATGTTAATAGGCTCTTTTTTTAATGAGGCAAATTATATCTTTGACTTATGGGGGGTTACTATCAAAAGACATTATTCAAGTAAATTAAGAAGTAAATGAAAGAAACCTCTACCCATGCAAAAGCCAAACTGACTGAGTGAAATGTATGAAGTCAAATTTTATTTACAAAATGTCATTTAGAACGCAAACATGTGCCCTGGCTGGTGTGGCTCAGTGGATTGAGTGCCAGCCTCAGTACCAAAGGGTCACCAGCTCGATTCCCAGTCAGGGCACACGCCTGGT